TAGTGTTGGTCATCTTAGTGCGTGTGCTCCTCCTGAGCAAAGCATTCTCTGGAAAGATTGCCACGTGTCCTTCCTCAATAACTAACTTATCATTTTCTGCCTGAAGAGGAATATTTTTTTTCTGACAGATTTTTCTATAAGAAATTTCCGATGAAATTTTTTGTCGGAAAAATTATTTCCGACGAATTTTTTTTTCCGACGCCACTTTTTCTGACGGATTAAAATCCGTCAGAAAAAGAAAAATTCGTCGGAAATTTACCTATTTCCATTGGAAATTTCCGTCAGAAATTAGCATTTTTCTTGTAATGAATGTTTTAAAAAATGGATAAGTAGCCAAGGAAAGTTGCTATAATTTTAAAAACATGGGGTGTCAAAATTATTAGCTTCAACTTTAAGAGAAGTAAATGTAATTACCCCTGAAATTTTTTATGCCTGGTTGTGTGGAATTGGTGTTTGAGGATGAAGATTTATTTTGAAAAGCAAACCAATATCCTCAAAAAGTCTTGCAGCAACACCCTTGTTATCTCTGCTAATTAGCTTGTTGTCTCTACTAATGGAGGTACCATGTGTTGCAAACCAGCTGAATGCTCCAATATTTTTACCACTTGCTCCATCCATAAACCTCAAAAGGGTCATTTGTGTGTCAACATTGGTGGGATATCTTGATCTCTCCTTTGCAGGGTTTTGCAGATATGCACTCGAACTGCTATTTATACCTACATCCTTCACATTATACAAAAACCAAAAGAAGCAATATATTAGAACTTCTATATCCTATGCAGGCTATGCTACCATATTTCAGTTTTGGATATCAAAAACTTTATGGCTTGTCAAACATTTACTACTTTGAACCACCCTATTTCATTTTAAGATATCAATATATAACCTTTAGGTTTGTCTAACATTTACTACTTTATTTTTATTTTTATATAATAATACTTATATAAAAATTATTATTAATATACTCTCTAACATGCTTACTCACTATTCTTAATATAGTTATTTTTATTGGTTAGGATTTATTGAAAATTACAAAATTAAGAGGAAGAAAGAGAGTCATTAAATAGAGTGTAAGATGTGAAATTTTGTGTTTTCTAATAAATTTGAACTAATTAAAGAGAATATATTTAAAAGAGTGTGTTAGAAAGTGTGTGTGTTGCTACTCTCTATTTGTGTATGTGCCATTTATTTTTTAATCAGAATAAGTTAGCGAATTATACTTGGGTGCATTTTAAAAGAAATGGTTGTAACTTAACAAATTTTATAAGCATTTACTAATGTGCACCTATTTATTTTTTATTTGGAATAAGTTGGTAAATTATATTTGAGTGCATTTTAAAATATAAGTTAGAAAATCTATATATATATATATATATATATATTATGTTTAAATAAAAAAA